CAGCATCCTTGCTCGCTTTGTTGCGCCAGGGAGACACCGTCCTGTTCACTGGACAGCTGCTATGAGGATGGCGAAGTACCTAGCGATGATATCAGGCGTGGGGCTGGTACTTGGAGGGAGACAGTCTGTCGTACTTACTGGTCACTGTGACGCCGAGACTCACAGGTCTATTTAGGGGTACTGTTTCAGCCTGGGCTCTGGAGCTGTTTTGTGGAGGTCCACGCGTTCCTCCTCGGTCTCGACCTCTACCGCTGAGGCTGAGATCTACGCTGGAGCCATGGCTGCACAGGAGCTGCGTTGGTTGACCTTCTTGCTCGCCGACCTTGGTGAGCGGCCGAGCTCTGCACCGACCTTGTTCACTAACAACAAGGCGACGATTCTCCTCTGTCGAGAGCCTCGACTGGAGAGCAGAGTGAAGCACATCAACGTCAGGTACTTTCTTCTGCAAGAGTTGCAGAGGCGTGGACAGGCTCGCTTCGAGTTTGTGGAGTCCGAGGCCAACATTGCAGGCAGAGATCTTCACCAAGGCCCTTTCGCCTTGTGACCACCACAGGTGTTGTGTGCAGTTAGGCCTTGTTGACACAGGTTCTCGTCGTGTGTAGACTGTTGTTCTCTGCTTGTTTTGTTTGTACACTTCTCATATACCTATGTGAACTCTTGAACTAGCCTTGCGACTCTTTTGCTTGTGCTCGGACTGTGTGGTGACGTTGTGATCCACCCTAAGCTTTGTTTCTTTGTGACTGGTCTTGTGACCGTACGGTTTTGGTTTTGCTTGACACCCCTCACTTAGGCTATGGGGGTGTGTCAAATGTTGTAGTCTTAGTGATGTGTGTCATATTGGGTACGGAATTTAGAGCTAGGTTTATGTACCCCAACCAACCTGAGTCCATGCATCATTTAATTTTTGACAAAAATGACTTATTTGTATAGCAGGTGAGTACGTCCATAACCCCCGAGGCCAACGTGCTTGTAACCCTTCTCCAGGATCAATCGGGGATCTCCAGTATACCTCTGACACCCCCCCGCATTGGGATGCCCGTGGTGCAGACTGGGATTCAAGCTAGAGACCTTCGCTCTCATAACATGTCAGAATCCCAGCCACTAACCACTGGGATAAAAGAGCTTGTTTGTGTAGCGGGTGAGTGCGCCCATAACCCCCAGGCCAACTTGCCTATAACCCTTCCCTATGATCAATCGAGAATCTCTAGTGCACCTCTGACAGTCTGATCGTTCAGGGTTGGCAAGAAAGAAACAGGGTCCTAAAAAACAAAAATTCTGCCACGTGACTAACAATCCTCCTTTACATCACTACACTAAAACAACTTCTCTCTGGCATATAAGCTACACATTCCTCTAGTGAAGTGTCTTATCCATGTGGTAAGTCTCATCCCCCTCCTCCTCGCCATCAGACAGGAAGGGATTGTCCTCTTTGTCTGAGTAATCTAGGGGTGGCGAATCTTCAATCTCCTGGTCCATTTCCCGGTCGTCACCATCATCGTCATCCGGCTCCGCGAAGTCCTCCTCGCCAGCCAGCTCGCTTGGTCCCTTTTCTTCCTCCTCCAGTTTCTTCCCCTTGCGCTTCCGTTTATCCAAAGGGAAAACGACGCTCTGCGCAGGACACCTCTTCTTGAGGCTCTTCCAGTTGTCCAAGACCCCTGGCAAGTCCATCTCGTACTGCACCAGAGAAATCTGCATCAGCTCAGCAAGCCGGGCGCTGCACAGAGAACCACGGACCCACGATTTGATGACGTTCTACCGCAAAAACCCCCTCTCGCACTCCACAGTTGATAGCGGCAGAGCTTCCAGCGCATGTCACTGCAGCAACAGGTTGGGTCAGCGCTTGCCAAACACGAAGGGGTGAAACACGGATTAGCAAGAGCGCAAGTATTTGGTCAAGTGAGTGACACGATTAGAGGTGTGTCTTACCTTTGCGCGTCGGCGCTTGCCAGGAAGTTTACCAGGCCTTGCGAGAATGTTTCTTCCTCGTGGTGCGACTCCATGATGGGGCACCAGGTTGCGAGCTCCCGCGAGGATGACTTGCTGTCAAAACCCGGGAGCTTGTTCTTGAACAGCGCGCTGCATCCAGTTAGACAGTCCTATCACTTTCGTTCGTGGGCGTTCTTGCTCTTCGGCCACTTCGAGGCGCGAAACAGCTTCGTCGGACCCATCCTCCGCAGATCGTCCAGGCGAAAGAGGAGCCGGTCGACGCAGTCCTTTGTCAAACTATATATGTTATACTTGTGTAGGCTGTAGTGGGGTAGCCAATATGGGGTACAACCCCTCTAGGGTTTGCTACTTGTACCCAACTGTTCCATTCAATGCAATCATCCTTGCCTAGACTTTCTAATATGGAATCAGAGCTGTTACGCTCTTGGCCTGTGGGCCCCACGTGCTTCCGCTGCTTTCCTGTCTGTCGCGCGCCCCGTGGCGCGCGACGCATTTTTTTTCTTCCCGCCGCGCGCTCGGGGCGCGCGGCGGTTTTCTGCCCCGTCGACCCGCGCGTCGCCCCCCGTCGCCCGTCGAAGCGCCCCCCGTCGCCCGTCGAAGCGCCCCTGAGCCCGGCGCGGGCCGCGCGCGGCCCGTACGACCTGCGCCAGGCCCGCGCGCGGCCCGTACACGCTGCGCCAGGCCCGTGCGCGGCCCGGGCAGCCTGCCCCGGAGCCACGCGCCGTTCCCCGAGCTGCTGCCCGCTGTGTCCTCCGCTGCTGCCCCCGCTTCTGCCTGTATTAGGGTTTGGGGTGGCGAGTGTGGGGGTGCCGAGTGTGGGGGTGACGAGTGGGTGTGTGCGCCATCCCCTGCTCCTCCTCCTCCTCCGTCTCCCACTGCTGCAGCTGCCGCTGAGGGGGGTGGATGTGTTGGAGCATCGGAGTTGTACGAGGGGGGTGGCGCGTAAGCAGTGCTAGAGGTGCAGCAGGGGGTGTGTGACACGGGTGTGGGACAGCTGGGGGAAGTTGAGTGGAGGCAGTCGTCTTGTCGTCCGCAGCGCCTGAAGTCCAGAGAGCCACGACCCCCTGTGGCCTGAGTAGTCCGGGGCTCTGCGCCCGGTAGCCACAGTGTGAGCACTCCTGGTAGTCCAGAGAGCCACGACCCCCTGTGGCCTGAGTAGTCCGGGGCTCTGCGCCCGGTAGCCACAGTGTGAGCACTCGTGGGAGCACAGAGAGCCAGCTGCGCCTGTCGCCGTGTAGTCCGGGTTTAGCCTGGTAGCGACAGTTCTGCGCACTCCTGTTGCCCGTGTGTCTGCAGCTTCAGCCATCGCCTCCCATCTTCTCGCCGCCACAGTTTCTCCTCCTCCTCACTTGCCCTCTGTGATAGTCTCTAGCTTTGCTTATCACCGTGACCTACTGCTTTGCCTGCTTGTTGTGTTGATTGTACCCCACTTTGACTATGGGGGTGTGTCAAACTATATTTGTTATACTTGTGTAGGCTGTAGTGGGGTAGCCAATATGGGGTACAACCCCTCTAGGGTTTGCTACTTGTACCCAACCTTCTTTCAATGCAATCATTCTTGCCTAGACTTTCTAACATCCTTCGCGAATTTGCGACCCAGCTTTACACAGTCGTTGTAGTCGCTCTTGTATATGGCCCTTGATTGGCCTTTCGCACAAGGTGTACGTGTGGTATACTGGCCGGCCTTCACCATCCACGCCACGCACTCGCACCTTCTGCCCCGCCCGCTTCCCATACATCGTCAGAAACTTCGGCAGCCACCTGTTGCCGGTTCAGATTACTTCGTTGTCTCCTTGCCGTACGAGAGACACATGCTGCACTTCACACTGGGCCCACCATCTTTTGCGCCAAACAAGACAAGCCACGGAAACTTGGGCAACGACTGACTTGGCCCCGGTGGTGGCACGCGCACACCGCCGAAGGTCAACATGTTCTGCTGTAGCTTTCCTCGGACCGGTGTCGTGCTAGACTTCTTGGTTGAACGTCCCTCAGACGCGGGAGCAGCATCGTTACAGCCGCTGCTACCAATGGCTGAGGGCGGGGCTTTACTGGAAGACGTGATGACGGGTTGGAGAGTGAACGCCGCTGGTGCCGGCTCTACATTGGGGGCAGGTTGTGGGACTTAGCTGGACGATGCGATGGCAGGGGGGAGAGTGAAAGCTGCCGGTTTAGGATCGCCATTGGGAACCATGGGTGATTCATCGGTATTAACTACTGTAGTGGTTGCTGGCGGTTTAGGCGTGGTAAACTTTGAGAAAGCTTCGTCTTTCCGGAAACTTCGAGAAAGCTTCGTCCCGATAAACTTGCATTCATGGACCACAGACTGTATACTCTGTAGAGTCAGACTCCAGAAACGACCAAGTCTGAAGCCTATTACACGGAATCAGGGGCCCCAAAACATTAAAGCTCTGGTATACATTTGAATGGATAGGTTCAAAATCCTTAGGAACTTGAAACTTGGCCCAAACTGTGAGGCACACTTAAAAACCCTAAACCTCGCTGACAAATGTATACCGGAGCTTTAACTCTGATGCACTCAGTGATGGAAATTGGACTAGTCTGAAAATACATTTTCCACAAACAGCAAGGTCTGATTCGTCAGACTAATCAGACTAAATAGTCTGATAGCGTCAGCCCTGGATATCACAAGTGCATAGAGTGAGTCTTGATCCAGGGATTCTCTGAGATGGGGGAGCATGGGGAGTATGCATGAGAGAGGGATTGTGGCGGGAGGGAAGGAAGGGAGTGAAGAAACGGATGGGGAAGGGACGGGGGAAGGAGGGAGGGAGGGAGGGAGAGGGCGAGAAGGGAGAAGGGGGTAAGTGTTAGAAATGTTGGGGAGATGAAGGACGGAAAGTGAGGATATGATATGATTTGATAGTCAAGTGAAAATGAGTGTTGAAGAAGAGACACAATGTGGACAGATGGGAAGCTGGGACTCGTTCAGCAGGGGGAGGATGGGCTGTAGTATTTGGAGAGTGCGAGAGGAGAGTGCGAGGAAGAGGAGAGTGCGAGGAAGAGAAGAGTGATATGGTGGGTTATGAAAGATGCACTTAAGGTGCTTCGTGAAAGGTGCACTTACCAAGCACAGCATCCAGTGTGATTCTCTCCGCCGGGTTTTTCTTAAGCATCTCTTTTATAAGGTCCTTGGCCTCTTTGGAAATGGACGGCCACGGAGGGAAGGAGAAGTTGAGTGGCTTGGATACGATTGCATCCAGCACTCCGGATTCTGTGGACGCCCAGAAGGGCGGCACGCCAGCCAGAAGGATGTATAGGACGACTCCCGCCGACCAGATGTCGGCCTCGGCACTGTAGCTTTTGTTGATCACTTCTGGCGCCATGTACATGTGCGACCCTATGAACTCCGTTAGCTTCGCGCCTGGGGGTGGGGGAAGTGAGGAAAGGGGCAGAGGGAGGGAGAGAGCAGGAAGGGGAAGGAAATGAGCACAGAAATAAGCCTACGCTTCTGGCGCCATGTACATATGGGACCCTATGAACTTCGTTAGCTTGGCGCCTGGGGGAGGAAAGAGGGGAAAGGGGCAAAGGGAGAGTGCAGGACCCCAGCTGCGCCACACTCATTCTCACACCACACCACACTCGCACCACCTGTAGCAACCACCAGCAGCAGCAGCAAATTTCAACCTCGCGCTATGGACCCACGTGTAGATAATGAATTTTTAAGACGTCTCAAAAATGCAGCAGCACATTTCAACCTCACCCCATGGACCCACGTGTAGATAATAACCCTGGACAAAACCCTGGACAAAACCCTGGACAAAACCCTGGACCCACCTGATCGGATGGGCGCCGCGATGCCAAAGTCAGTGACCTTGAGAGCGACGTCATCATGGGGCGAGGTGAGCAGCAGGTTCTCGGGCTTGACATCGCGGTGCATGACCCCCAGGGAGTGGCACGCCCGCAGCACCACCGCCAGCTGCTGCACCACAGCGGCTGCCGGCCCCTCCTCGTAGCGCCGCCGCTGCTTGATGCGGTCAAACAGGTCCCCGCCGCGACACAGCTCCATGATTATGTGCACGTGCTGGTGAGGGAGAAGAGAGGGGGGTTTGGGGGAATTTTGAGTCGCTGCTCGACTAACACACACACACACACACACACGCACACACACACACACACACACACGCACACACACACACACACACGCACGCACACACGCACACACGCACACACACACACACACACGCGCGCGCGCGCGCACGCACACACGCACGCACACACACACGCGCGCACCACGCACGCACCGTGTCATCAGCCTACTGTGCTTACACACAGAGCGTGGTACATTATACATACCGTGTCATCTTCAACAATCTTTTTCATCTCCATCACATGCGGATGCGTGCACACATCAACCTGATATGCCACACACATCATGTACGCGCACACACCATGGGGACACACACACACCCCACACACGTACCGTGTCATCCTCCACAGCCTCTTTCTCTCCACCACATGCGGATGCATGGACACGTCAGTCTACTATGCCATACACTCACACTCTCTCACACACACACTCTCACACACACACACTCTCTCACACACACACTCTCTCACACACACACACCCTCTCACACACACACCCTCACACACACATCAACACGCACCGTGTCATCCTCCAAGGTCTCTTTCATCTCCACCACATGAGGATGCCCCTTCAGCAGCTGCATCACCATCACTTCTCTCCTCATTGCCGCCAACGCCCTCTTGCTCTGCATGGGGCCACAGGGGAGTGCAGGAGGGAAGGAATGGGGGTGGGGGTTCCCGACTCGTTGACACACAAGCGCCCACGCACACATTCCCGCACGCAAACATGCTACATGCCCATTTGTCGACACGACACCTGTGTCTGTACCCACGCCCCCGCACACATGCACGCAAGCACGCACGCGCATTCGTATGCATGCACACACATGCACACACGCTTGCACACCCACACATATAGATGATACACACAATCACATGCCCACACATACACGCGCGTGCGCACGCGCGCACACGACACGACACGCACACAACCACTCCCCAACACACACACACCTGAATCTGCTCCTTGCCAATGCTCTTGCACGCCCATGTCTTGCCAGTCGCCATCTCCCTCACCACTCTGATCATCCCATACGACCCGCTCCCAATCTCCTGCTTAACTAAGTACCGCTCCTGCAGAGAGCAAATCTCCCCGCCTAAAAGCCCCACTTTAGGAGCCCGCCAGGAGCCTATGAGACCCCTAGGGGACAGCATGCTGGTGAAGAAGCTGGCTTTAAAGCCCGAGGAGGCAGGAGGTGTATGAGGAGAGACAGGTGCTTCGATTCGTATCGGGCTGATGATCTGGCTTTGCCTGCTGACGCTCTGGTTGCTGCTGCTGTTGCTGCTGCTGCTGCTGTTGTTGCTGCTGCTGTTGTTGCTGCTGCCTAAGATGTTGCTCTGACTGCTATCAGGTGCCCCAAAGGCTGACTTGTCACCAGATTTCCTCCTCTCCCTCTCCTTTTCCCTCTCTTTCTCTCTCTCTCTTCTCCTCTCCCTCCCTCTCCTCTCCCTCTCCTTCTCCCTCTCTTCTCCCTCTCCCTCTTCTCCCCTCCCCTCCCTCTCTCTCCCTCTCTTCTCCCTCTCTTCTCTCCCTCTCTCTCCCTCTCCCTCTCCCTCCCTCTCCCCCCTCTCCCTCTCCTCTCCTTCTCCCCTCCTCCCCTCCCCCCCTCCGCCCGCTCCTTTCTCCCTTCTTGTCTCCTTGCCAGGCGTGCTGACCAGGTCCCCTCGAAGGTCAACCAGGTCCCTGCTAAAGTCAACGCCCAGGTCAACGCTGAGGTCGCCATAAGAAAACCCTCTTCGCTCCTTGGGGCTCCGCCTTGGGCTTTTTCCCTGCCTTCGTCTGCTGGAGGCTGCGACACTAGCACCAGCACCAGCAGCAACACCACCACCACCACCAGCAGCAGCCGCTGCTGCCTTCAAGTCCAGCTTCAAATCCATCACCGTCATCTCAAATTCCGGCAGAAAACCTTTTTCAGCTGCCCGGAACAAGGGCCTGCCAGACTTCCACTGGGAGCGGCCGGGGGTGAGGGGGGCCCGAGCCTCAGACGCAACAGCAGGCCCAGCAGGGTGGTCGGCATAGGAGAAAACCACTTGGCCAGCACCATCGGTGGCAAAGAGGTCTTCTGTGCGCTGCATGATGGTGTATACCTTCCCATTGTATACCTTCCCATTGTATACCTTCTCATTGCTTCGATGGTTGCTCCGCTGGTTTCTCCGTGCCACAGCACTTTCTTTGCTCGGTACGTTGCCCCCCTCATTGCCCCCCTCATCGCCCCCCTCATCGCCCCCCTCACTGCTCCTCCGGCGCTCCCTCCCTCCGTCCTCCTCCCCTCTCCTACCCCGGGGACTTTTACTCTGCTCTTCCTTTGACATTCTGGGGCTGCTTCGCATTCCTCCTGTTGTGTGTTGAGTCGTCTCAAAACGCTCCCTCCCTCCGTCCTCCTCCCCGCCCCTACCTCGGGGACTTTTACCCTGCTCTTCCATCCGCATTCTGGGGCTGCTTCGCATTCCTCCCGCAGGGCCTCGTGGGTTGCTCTTACGGAGCTCCCTCCCTCCATCCTCCTCCCCTCCCCTACAGCGGGGACTTTTCCCCTGCTCTTCGATTGCCATTCTGGGGCTGAAACTTGCCGTGCCTCGGGGGTTGCTCCTCCGGCGCTCCCTCCCTCCGTCCTCCTCCCCGCCCCTACCTCTGGGGCTTTTACCCTGCTCTTCCATCCGCATTCTGGGGCTGCTTCGCATTCCCCCTGAGGGGCTTTTACTGGGAGTTTTAGGGATTCTATTCCTAGGTTTCTCGCCAACATTCCCTGCCCGTAACACCATCAATCTCTCTCCGTTCCCCTCATTTCCCTCATTCTCCTCATTCTCCTCATCCCCCTCGTTCCCCTCGTCCAAGCCTTGCAAGGGAGCCAGCCGTGACACCCACTCATTCACAACCCTCCGTTTTGAAGCATAACTCTCCTGCTCTTTCTTCTCCTTCTCCCTCTCCCTCTCATCTTCCCTCTCCCTCTCCCTCTCCCTCTCCCTCTCCCTCTCCCTTTCCCTGTCCCCCCAACTTTCCCCTCCTCTCTGCCGCCCGTTCTCCCCCCCTCTCCCCTCAACTGCTTCTGTATGATCAACCACCCCAAAAGAAAATGCTGATTTGGCTCGCCTATGACCCCTAGGGGTTGTGGCCGCAGCAGCACCAGCAGCAGCACGAGCACCAACAGCACCAGCACCAGCATCACCAGCACCAGCAGCAGCAGCCATCCTACTCCCCTCAACTGTTTCCATGTTATGAACCACCCCAAAATCCATTGCTGATTTGGCTCGCCTATGAACCCTAGGGGTTGTGGCCGCAGCAGCACCAGCAGCAGTTCCAGCACCAACAGCAGAAGCACCAGCAGCAGCAGCAGCAGCATCAGAAGCCATCCTACTCCCCTCAACCGCTTCCGTATAATCAACCAACCCTGATTTGGCTCGCCTGTGACCCCTAGGGGTTGTGGCCGCAGCAGCACCACCAGCAGCAGAAGCACCAGCAACACCAGCAGCCACCCTACTCCCCTCAACTAATTCCGTATCGTCAACCAACCCATAATCCATTGCTGATTTGGCTCGCCTGTGACCCCTAGGGGTTGTGGCCACAGCAGCACCAGCAGCAGCAGAAGCACCAGCAACACCAGTAGCCACCCTACTCCCCTTAACTAATTCCGTATCGTCAACCAACCCATAATCCATTGCTGATTTGGCTCGCCTGTGACCCCTAGGGGTTGTGGCCGCAGCAGCACCACCAGCAGCAGAAGCACCAGCAACATCAGCAGCAGCAGCACCAGCAGCAGCCATCCTACTCCCCTCAACTGTTTCCATGTTATGAACCACCCCAAAATCCATTGCTGATTTGGCTCGCCTATGACTCCTAGGGGTTGTGGCCGCAGCAGCACCAGCAGCAGCAGCAGCAGCAGAAGAAGCACCGCCAGCAGCAGCTGCCATCCTCCTATCCTTCCTGGAACCTTCTCCATCACCACGCCCAGCAGCAGCACCACCAACGGCTCTGGTGCCGCAGCTGGCTGCATGCTTCAGGCTTCGAGAGGAAGCAGCCGAGTTTTGAGGCGCCTCAAAAGCACCAAGCCCAGCAGCACCAAGCCCAGCAGCACCACGCTCAGCAGCACCACGCTCAGCAGCACCACGCTCAGCAGCACCACGCTCATCAGCACCAAAGCTGCCTGCTTGTTTCAGGCTTCCAGAGAAAGCAGCCGATACGAGCCTCCTGCTGCTGCCACTCAGACCCGCACCAGTGCTACCTTGGGCGGCGGCGGGAGAGAGAGTGACGGGCGAGAATGCAATGGCGTCCATGCTTCTGTTGGTTGACCGCACTCGCATGCGGGAGCAGTGTGACTTTTGAGTCGACTCAAAAGTCAGCTCAATGGCGTCCATGCTTCTGTTGGTTGACCGCACTCGCATGCGGGAGCCATCATTTGCACCTTTCAACTGAGGAGACCAGAGCCGCCTGTCAGCCCCGCTAGGAGACAGCGTTGACGGGGGCGATCGTGCGAGATTTGATACTGCCGCCCTCAGCCTTCGCTGCTGCTGCTGATTCTTACCCTCACCCTGCCTTCCTTCTTCTATCCCCTTATACTCCTTCTCCTCATTTTTCTCGTCGTTCTCCTCCTTCTCCACCCCCTCCTTCTTCTCTCCCTCCTCCCTCTCCTGCTCTTTCCCCTTTACCCTCTCGCGTCGTCTCCCTTTCTCCCTCTCCCTTTCCATTTCTTCTTCTCTTGCTGCTGTAAATTCCCCCGACTTATCACCATAAGACTTCCGCCGCCGTCCTGTACCATCTCTTACTCTAAACGAGTCAGAGGCTTTAAAGAAACCTTCGCTGCACGTTCTAGGAATGGAAGCCCGACTTTTGGAAGCAGCCGAAGTAGCAGCAGAAGCAGCACCAGTAGAAGCAGCACCAGCAGAAGCAGCACCAGCAGAAGCAGCACCAGCAGAAGCAGCACCAGCAGAAGCAGCACCAGCAGAAGCAGCACCAGCAGAAGCAGCACCAGCAGAAGCAGAAGAAGCACCACCAGAAGCACCAGCAGAAGCAGCACCAGCAGAAGCAGCACCAGCAGAAGCAGCACCAGCAGAAGCAGCACCAGCAGAAGCAGCACCAGCAGAAGCAGCACCAGCACCAGCAGCAGCTGCCACAGAGGAAACACGTGCACTGCTTCTAGGAGTGGCAGAGCCTGAAAGGGGCGGACGTGCCCTAGGTGTGCCTACCCTCGGTGTGCCTTCTTTAAGCGTACCTCCCTTGGGAGTACCTTCCCTAGGTGTACTTGCCCTGGGTATACCTACCCTGGGTGTACCTTCCTTAGGTGTATCTGCCTTGGGTGTACCAGCCCTGGGTGTACCTGCCCTCGGTGCGCCTTCTATGGGTGTACCTCCCCTGGGTGTACCTGCCCTGGGCGTCCTTGGCGTGCCAGGCAAATCATCCTCTAGGCTCTCACAATCCGGTATAACCAAGGCCAATCTCCTTCTGCCACGTGGCGAGGCGCGAGCAGCATGGGAGCAGCATGGGGGTGGGGAGAGGGGAGGAAGGGGCGGAGTGAGGGGAGGAAGGGGCGGAGAGAGGGGAGGAAGGGGCGGAGTGAGGGGAGGAAGGGGCGGAGAGAGGGGAGGAAGGGGTGCGCCAGGGAGGGAAAGGGGAGCGCCAGGAGGGGGAGAGAGGGGAGCGGCAGGGCAGGGAGAGCGGGGAGCGGCAGGGCAGGGAGAGCGGGGAGCGTCGATGCGAGGAGAAGGAAGAGGAAATGGTTTGTCACAGGGCTGGTGATCCTGTGGGATGGCCTCTGCAGACGGAGAAGGAAGAGGGAATGCTGGGGGGGCAAATGGTTCGTTGCAGGGAACGTACTCTACCGCAATGGCATCTGCTCCCATCACCCACACGCGCTTCACAATCAGGGAGGAGCGTGGGCTCAAGGCACCAGGGGACTTTTGAGGCGCCTCAAAAGAAGGCTTCTTCGAAACACCAGGGGGTTCTCAGGTGTGCTGCTCGGTGACTCTGCCCCACTTGGCCCTCTCTTGACTTTGCTGCTGCTGCTGCTGCTGCTGGTGATGACAGTGCTGGTGGTGGC